CATGAACTCCTCACTATGGGAGGCCAGGGGCCCACACCTCATGAACTCCTCACTATGGGAGGCCAGGGACCACACCCCATGGGGTGGATTCTGCATCCTTCGGTGTGAACATGTGGACAGCAGAAAAGAGGAGAAGCCCAGGGAGAGGAGAGGGGCCATAAGGATAAGAAGAGGCAGATTGCCTGCCCCCATCCTGGGGTGCTCACTCAGGCTGCGGTTGAGAAAGGGCTTAAGGGGTCCAGGAAGGCAGGCTCACCCCCTGTGGGCGGCGGGCTGGTCGGGGAGGTCCCCTCCATCTCGTCAAAGGCCTCCTTGTAGCTGTGCAGATGGGGCTGTAGGAGAAAAGCCGGAAGGAAAAGGGAGAGACTCACTGGTGACCGTGACCTGCAAAGTGGGGTTCCCAGCAGACAGCCCATACAGCCCCTCACTAGCCTGGCCATTCACCCCATTTCTGGTAACACAGACCTGGCAGTTCAGGGTCCCAACAACTCTTGGGAGCTGAGAGAGCAGGGAAAGGCTGCTTGCAGCAAGCTGAGAGTGCAGGCAAGGTTGGACTCAGACACACCTGCCTGCAAACACTTCCGGGCCAGTGAGAACGGGCTGGGGCTGGAGGACTCAGGTCCTGCCAGAGGCAGGAGAGAAAAGCTGTCCAAAAACCACTGCCACCCGGAGGGCCTCGCTAGCCCGCATTTTGTTGGACAGGGCCACTGGCCTCGGAATTTTGCAGTGTGTGTGTTCACGAGGTAGGCCCTTGGGTCCCACCCCAGAGCCAATACTCTGGGACCTCTAGAGGCTAACATCTGGAGCAAACCTCCTGGTGACAGTTATGCTTACAGTAAGACCTACCTACTACGTCTAACCGTGGATATGTTTGTATTTGGGCAAACGTTTGGGCATTGAAATTAATGTCCCAAAGAAAAGCCCAAAAACACTTTTGCTGTTCTACATGATCAGTCTGTCGTTTAGCGAATATGGGCACCTAAGACTTACCCAGGGTCCCTGTCTCTCTAATGGGCTCTCTAAGAGCCGGTCAAGGAGGAACGTGGCCTTAATGTAAGAAGTGGGTGCATACAAGCTATTTAAAGAAGGAAATGGGCTCCAGACTCCACCCACCAGAGAAGAGATGGAAGCAGAAGACACTGCAAGGGAAAATTACTGAGGCTACTGCCCGTTAGGGTCACCGGGTGACCATCGGGTTTCCGGAGACTTCAGGCGGGCTCCAGACCCTCCGAGCCCCAGTGCAGCCCCCACGGACTCTCGCTCACCTCTTTGGGTCGCCCTCCGGGATTGAGAGCAATGGTGAGAGCCAGCTCTGGGGAGACACACTGGACAGGGGAGCGCATCCCGGGGCTCCGGGGGGAGCTGGGCTCTGGAGACTGGTTCTCATACTGTCCATCGCTGGCTGCCCGCTTCCGGAGAGAGGCTGTGGGCTCTGCAGGCTGCTTCTCACGAGCCTGCACCCCTGGGAGGAAGGGCCGGGCAAAGAGGACCATGAGCATAAGTGCCCCAGAGAAGGGGGCGCATCTCAGCCCAGGGGCCACCCTGGAGCTGGGCCTGTCTCCCCACGACACCTCCCACTGGGTCGCTCTCTGCCTATACTCCAGGCTCTTCTGCCGGGTGGAGCTGCTTGTGGGGGGGCTGGCGTCCGGTCTACTCAGCACAGAGTTGGGGGCCAGAGCACAAAGGACTGATACAAGAAACAGATGTCAAGTCCTTCCAAGCCCTGGAGGCAGAGGGCCAGCGCTTCCAGTCAAATGAGGGAAGGTAGAGGGAGGAGAGACGGTCTCCAAGGCGACAACATCAACCAACAAGCAACATCAGCCCTTGGAGTAGAACTCTGGAAAGAGCACACACTGCATCATCTTGCAAGTGGCTCTCCCAAGCAGAAACAAAGAAATGACTACGTCTTGTTCAGAACTCCCCAACCCCAGCTGACCCCTAAAATACAGTTGCTCTTCTTTGGGGTGCCCCAGTGCCTATCCAGGGGACCTCCCAAGCCTCTTACCAATGTCCCTCTTAATAACCTCTTAACTTTCTCTTAACATTTTCTCGCCTCCAACATGGCCCAGAGCCCCACCCAGCCCACTCCCAGCAGAACAGTCATGGGTTCCATCTGCTTTTCTGTCCTTCCCTTCCATTCCACAGGCTGAGGACGCTGCTAACCTCGCCCTCCTTCCTTCCCACTCCCTCTTCCCACAGCTGGGCTGGGGCACAGAACGCATTGCCTCACTGAGCTGGCTCCAGAATCCTAGAAAACATCCCCCCGTTCCCGAGGCCAAGACCCAGCTGGGGCTGGGCCACTTGACTCCAGCTGGGGGAGGAGAAACTCACCGTCTTCACCACCACCCGAGGGCAGGCAGGGTGAGGAAGGGCCACCAGCCTCACTACGGCACATGTGGGGACCCCTCCCATCACACACGGGCATGCACGCACACACACTGGGCCCCGGGAATGTGCCAGAGCCGCTCAGAAGCACCTTCATTGAGAGTGACTCATCGTGTACCCTCCATGGTGAGCTCTGCACCCTCTGGGGGCCCCCAGCGACCGCCTGGCTCAGCCGCTGAGGTGGCCATGAAAAGCAGATGCCGGAAGCCTTCTTGCTTGTGAACAGCGGGCTGGCAGCTGCCGAGTCAGGGCTGGACACACACACTCACACTCACGCACTCATAATTAGCTGGTGGGGACGAACCCAGTCTCCACGAGCTAATTATTATTCGCAGGCGGCCTGCTTTGCCATGTCAACCAAGCCGGGATGGGACAGTGAGCAGGACCACAGACTGCTTTACTGAAGCGAGGAAGGGTCGCTTCAGGGTCCTTATTTTGAAGGGTCCTTATTTTCCAAACAGAACAGAGTAGGTCACAGAGTTCTAACCAGAGGCTGCCACCAGGAACGCCCCCCACCCAGCCCCCCCACGGAAGCTGGGGCTCAGCCCTGAAATATCGTATCTGGGAGGGGTGGGCCAACACTGGGCCCCCATAGTAATGCTGGGTTCCCAGTCTTAGACCAGAGGCCCGCACCCCAATTCACACCTGTGGGAGCCCCCGCCCCAGGCCGCAATGTCCCACCATGGTGCGCCCTGCCCCCAGACGTTCTGGGTCCTGAGCTACCAAGAGTTTCATTCCTGGCAGACACTGGAGAGACGGACACAGCCATTGATTTTTTAATAATAATTGTGACAAAGGAGGCCCATTCAGGAAAGGCTCTTGGGGTTTGGAACTGAGTTCAGCTCCAAGGTTAAAAGAAACGCATTAGGCCCGGCCTCAGTGCCGGCTCGCCCACCCTTCCTGGCAGATTCTTGTGCCCTTGCACGGGGGCCGCTTTCCCCATTTGGGGATCTGACATGCGCTTTTGAAAAGTGAGAGTTTCAATTCAAAGAACTGAGTCTCCCAGAGGGCAGAGAACACCCTCCGTGTTCAGGTGCTGGAGCAAAGACTGGATGCTAGAGGGACACCCCAAAGCAGAGACCCCAGCACCCGGAGGTCAGACCTCTGAGCTCTCCCGCGTCCCCTCCAGCACCACCATGTGGGCGAATACTCTGGCCCAGGGCAGGGGGCAGAGTGACCGCCAAAGACCTAGGGCACTGCAGAGCAGAGTGGACCCCACATTCCACTCCGCGGGGACAGCGCCCCCTGAGAGCACCCCATGACACCAATGGCCAGCCAGGGCCTGTCACATTCTTTGAACAGTGTCTCACTGTTGTTCCCCTTGGCAGGCCTAAATCTGCCCTGCAGCGCCTGGAGAGCCATGTTCTTGCTCTGGTCTTTCTATGGGCGGGGAGTCGGGGCAAAGCAGAGGGGAGAGAAGAGAGCCCCATTGTTCATGGGCCAAGCTGGGAAGTCTGGACACAAGTTGATAGTGTCAGAGAGAGAAACCCCTCCCAGAGATGGGCCCACAGTAAAAATAGGCCTGCTCCTCCCTTCCCCCACTGTCCACCTCCCCTTCTCCACCCTCAACCCTGGGGCTTTCTCAGGCCCCTACTTTCTCGGGGGCACTGTGTCTGAGTGCTTGCTCCCTAAGTGTGTGCACACACACAGTCTTAACCCAACAGGAAGGGTGGTTCAGAGTTGCCCCCAAACCCCTACAGTCACCCCTATTCTCGCGGGAGGAAGCTCAAGGAGGGGGCAGCCGAGGGACTCTGGAAGTACGTCCAGCCAAGCTGGTAAGTGCAGGCTTCCAGGCCCAGAGAACAAGGCGAGGGAGGAGGCCGTTATGGCAAGAAAGTGACCTTTAAGATGAATAACACACAACATTCGGGGCCCTGAGCTTCCCCACCAGAGAAGGGCAGTCCCCTCAGCCAGGGCTCCACTCGGCCACCAGACCTTCGGGGCAGGAGCCGGCACACCCCACTCCCAGGATGGCACTGTGCTTGGGGGAACAGCCGCTCTAAAGCTCCCCGATAAGCAATGAATCCTGTTCCCCCCACTTCTCTCTCTCACTCACACACAGCTGTAGCCCCAACACACATCAACACATACGCTTCGTCACAGCATGGCTGTCCAAAGGCCCTGGGGCTCAAGGACAGTTGTCTTGGTGTCCAGTTTCATCACATGGCTCCCCTACACCCCCAGACTAGCCACTTCCACCCCCACAGACCCAGCTCTTCTTTCCAGCCTTCCGATTTCCAAAAGACTGGATTCCTCAGCTCCACATGGCCGGGCTGGGTGTCCAACAGCATGCCTGAGGCTCCAGAAGCGAGGGGGTCCGGGAGGCCACCTGCTGGGCCAGGACACCAGAAAGCCACACGGCAATCACACTAGCAGCCCTAGGACAAGCCATGCCAGCTCCCCTCAGGGACAGGCCCAGCACCCAGAGCCGCCCAACCCCCCCACCCCCCCAGGCCTGCCGAACATAGCGCTCCCCACCACTGGACCCAGGAAAAGATAGAGGGAGGAGAGTGGAGGTGGAGGGGGGTGTTCTGCTAGAGCCGTCACCCCATTATTCATGGACCAGGAGGGCCAGATACAGCCCTGGGAGTCAACAGCTCCTGTCACCCCTAGGCCTGTTCCCGAGTAGTTCAAGACTACGTGGGGCAAGCCTGAGACAAGTCTTCCTGTGCAGGGCCTCCCCAGAGGGGCTGGGCACAAGAGGCGATTCCCTCCCCAGGGAAAGAGCCTAAGGCCCCCCTGGTAGACATGAGTGGACAACACCATCCTCCATCACAGCCTCGTGAGCCTCAGTGACAGAGGGTCCACCCTGCTGGGGCATGCCAAGCCACCAAATATTGAAGGCAGGGTCCGGCCTCTCCATTTTTCAGACTGGGAAACTAAGCTGAGTATTATGAGTCTTGTCACGGAGGTGGGCAGAGCCAGCACCAGCCCCAGGCCTTCTGACCCTTGGCCTAGATCCCAGGATCAAAGACTCGGAATGCCGACAGAGGCCTGCTCTGTCTCCCAGTGTGCCATACTCCAGAGTGGACAGAGCAGCAGGTGCTGGGGCACCGCTCTGTCTTCTGCCCAGGGGCCCATGAAAGCACAGTCTGGCCCCTGTAGAGGCCCTGGACCTGCACCCAGGCTGCTCTGACCAGGGAGCTGGGCTGTCCCAGGCCCCCACTGAGCATCCTCGTTGCAAAGGGCCAAGTGTCCACAGGATGTCTGAAGGTTAGTCTAGTCACGCCAGACCTGTCCCAGCACCCACCTGCCCCCCACCCCCCGTTATGGCCCAGGCTAGAAGCATCGGCCTGTGTCCATGCACTGAGGGGGAGTTTACTCATGCAGAAGGAGGGAGAGGGTGTGAAGACAGCGAGGAGGGAGAAGTGGCCAAGAAGAGGGACGCAGGGAAATGAGAAAAGGAGGAGAGGCAAGAGAACAAGGCAGAGGCAGAATGAGCTGCAAAAGGGGAGGAAGAAGAGGGAAGGGAGGCGGATGGGCAAAGTCTGGAAGGAGCAGCGCGTGAAGGAAGAGGGAAGGGACACTGGGAGCTAAAATGAAGCCTGAGGGGCTGCGTGGGGGCAAGGGGGGGGGGGAACCAACCGTGCGGCATGGTGCACACGGAGAGGGAGTTAGATTGGAGCCGGTGGAGAGGAGGCCGCCAGAAGCTGACTCTTTGCCTCATTTCCTGCAGCCTGGCATTGTACGCTGCCGCCCCCACCCCAGGGGAGCCAGCAGGGAGGAAGGCAAGCAGGCAGGGGAGGTGGGCGAGGGCAGGACACCAGGCAGGGAAGGCACCACACCCAAGGTGCAGGGGCGGAGGGGCAGGGGGCACAAGAGAAGCCAAGGGACCAGGCATTAAACAAGACAAAACAACAAAAACAGAGAGAAAATCAAAATTAGTTGGTGTTCTGCATTCAGGACCAGCCACGGCTGGAGATGGGGAGGGGAAGGAGAGAAAGATCCAGGAGGTCCGAGGGCAGCGGGACCTCCTGCTGCCTGGCAGGACACTCTTTTCTACCTCCACAGTGGAGCAAGAAGGTGCCAGCCTGGGGCCAGGAGTCCCGCTCATCAGCTGGCCTATCACGGGCCTCT